GACTGCCAACCACCACCTCTATCAATTATCGAATACTTTAAAAACTGCCTCGGTGGTGTAGTGACTATCATGAACGGCTACACATCCGAAGTCCTGGGTTCTGGTGGGTGAATGTTTCTGTTCAGTAAGCCTCAGTAACAACCCGGGGTTGGGAAGTTGTCGATGTTTCACCCCCGTGCCTCGGAGATCACGTAAAATCTTTGGTTCTATACCAAGAAGATATTTATTTTACCCAAGGTGCAGAAAGGCACACGCTTGGCTCAGTTTGTAATGACCCTACTTGCTATGTCAGCGGTGTCGGGTTCGAGTCCCGCTGGGGGCATTCATTTGTGTGATGAGCACGAATGTTTGTATTCCAGTCATAGGTGTTTATATTTGGACCCAGTTATGCAAAAAACAGCCATGTGCGTAAAAGTACCAACAGAGTTATAAGCATTTTTCTGTCGATAATTACAATTGGGTTATGTTTTGTTTTTCTAGTTATTTTAAAATTGCACAATATTTATATAAGTATTGTTTATTTTTTTAAATTATTTTATTTTTTATAATAAAATGCTTATAACTCTGTTGGTACTGTTACGCACATGGCTGTTTTTTTGCATAACTGGGTCCATTTATAATATGTATGTATTTAAAATTATATTTATATGTGTAGTGTCAACTATTTGGTATCCATAACACAAGCCTCGTAGCTTAAAATGGAACTAGATAGTGCTGTGTCTTAATATCCCAACATAAAAAGAGGATAAAATAGACACTACTATCCTCATTATATCTTCTTAAATTTGGTAAATTATCATTTAACATTATCCTAGTCTCCGAAATAGAGTTAGTACAACGCGAGCTTGTTTGTTCGCGAAGCTTGTTTGTTTTGAGGCAGCGCAAATATACCCAGTATTTATCCTTTGTTGTAAAAGCAATGTTGTCGTTGAAGATACACTGTTTAGCTTTATCTATAAGTGTTTATGAATAAAATTATAACATGTTGTTTTACTTTAAAGAAAGTTAGTTAAAAGATAAAGAAAGACAGAATTTTATTGTACATAATATGTATAGAATAGATTGAGAGTAATTTGCTATTATGACAAATTTGCTATTATTAATTTTGTATCAACATTGCGAAGTAAAATGTTGAATAGGTATATCTTATTACCTCTTCGAACTCTAATGGCTTAAATGATTTAAAAGAAATTCGAAATCTATATAGTTTATATCATTGATTTACACGTTGGCTACTGAAAATTATTGAAAATTCAAGCAAAACCACGGGTAAAAATTAGTAAGTGCATTACAATATGTTATATATTAATTAACTCCTTGTAAGTCAGTACTAGTGATTCTAATTCCAATCTCTTCGATTTACCGTCTCTTTGATATCTAAAACAGTATTTAGATTTCAATACAGACAGAGGTATTCTGGGGAAGTGCCACGAGATTAAGTTTCCAGCTTTACTGTCAGTAGTTATTAATGAAGTCAAATATAATGATATCAAAACAACGTCACATCTATATTGGATTACCTATATCAATACTTAGGTCATAAATACCACCGTCTGCGTCTGAGGCACTGGCCGTTAGATCTAAGGCCTAAGCGAATTTTCAAGAAATTTGCAAATATATATAATAAATTTTAACGTGATAAACGACGTGAAATGACGTGAAAAGATGTGTATGGGTTCAAAAAGATATTTATATATTATTGTCCAAGTAACCCGAGTGAAACCAGGACTGTTGGCTATAAGGATACCTACAAGTGTGCCGAGATTTTTTATACATATGTCTATGCTATGTACATAGACTTTATTAACAAAAAAAGCAATTGTCTTAACTTTCGAGTCACTTTCTATTGTCTTTCTTTCAATAGATAGCAAAAAAATAGTGACAAAAATTGAGTTTTTCAACACCGCTAATTTTCTTGTATATATGCGTTGGGACATTAAGACACAGCACCATCTAGTTCCATGGTAAGCTACGAGGCTCCTGTTATGGATACCAGGTAGTTAATACACTATACATATAAATTTAAATACATACAATTGTACATATTTTAAATATAAACAACCATTACTGGAGTACAAACATTCATGCTCATCACCAAATGAATGCTCCCAGCGGAACTCGAACCCGTGACTGCTGGCACAGCAAATAGGGTCACTACAAACTGAGCCAAACGTGTCGTCGACATACGAATGATTAAAATAATCTATTTATGATATAGATCTCAAAACTAATAATTTTTGTATTTTTTAACATTTTTTTATTCCAAAATCATTATATTACACTCGTTTAAAACACTTTGCTTTGAATATTTGAGCAACCCTGACTTGATAACCTTTTAACTCTGTCGCAACCCTAGTATAGTAATACTCTACATTCATTATCTGCTAAATGAAAATCAAACACAGGAACTTCACACCTATACGTATATGACAAGAGGTGATATATTTCCATGCTTTATTTTAATTTTGTACACTGTATACGATAAAGTAATATATTTTTCTGTCTATAAGTTTGATAAGCGTCGTACTATATATATGCATTTATACAAGCTTTGCTTCATTGCTTTGCTTGTTGTTTAGGATTTTTTCATTAGACCTGAAGAAAAAAATGTATTTATAACAGACGCATGGCAACGTTATCATCACCGCTCACTGAAGAATTTTCGGCTAGTGTTTAGTATATAGATATTAGCTCAGGTCAGGTCCTTGGATACACCCAAGCAAAACGAGAGTGTCGCTAGTCTATACATACATATATTATAAAAAGGTAAAGTTTGTGAATTTGTGACGTTGTAGGGGGTAATCTCGGCATCTATTGAACCCTTTTAGATGAAATTTGATAAGAAGATAGTTTGAGACCCTGGGAAGGACATAGAATATTCTTCCTTTTATCTCGGAAATCATTCCTTAAGGAGTTGAAAATGGGGATGAAAGTTTATATGGGGTATCAAGCTAGAGACGAACCCGAGCGAAGCGAGGGTGAGTCGCTAGTATATTATAAAAATGAAACACCACTCAATGATTAATCACTAAATCTCAGAAACTATGTATCCGACTTTGCAAATTACGTGTATTCGCTTCACTAAAATCTAATTTTGGAAAATTCAAAGTCTGGAAGTTTGTATACAAATACTAGATATTATATACATCCGTATTATTAATATTTTAAATGTGAAAGTTTGTGAGTATGTATAGATGTTTGTTACTCTTTCACGCCAGAACGGCTGAACGGATCTGGATGAAATTTGGCACAGGGATAGATAATAGTCTGAAATAACACAATTTTTATCCCGGAAAAATGTACGGTTCCCGTGGGATAGATTTGCTTTTGGTTTCCTAGAGGTGAACCCGAGCGAAGCGAGGGTGATCCGCTAGTTGTACATAAATAAACTATGCGAACGAAACTACAGTAAGAGTTTATAGTAAATATTAATAATAAACTCTATACATTCCGCTAGCAGGTTTGTTTTTCCCATTTTTTCACTTCTTTATCTCAAATCATAAAAGCGGTTAGTCTATAAGTGAAGATAAAAATGACGGCGACGCTTTACGATGTGGCAGTATCTGATAACGGGATAGATGACTCTGGTCCTGTGAAGAGACTGTCATAAACTTATGTCCTATTAAACTCTATTATGTTAGCAATAAGGCTTATTTTACATCACAATTGCATGAAATATAAAAAGTTTATTTAGTATGGGCAAAATGAACTTAAAGCTCGTAGAACAGTAGCCTACACTAGTGGCGGCCGAAATCATAAAGCTTCCATACTTATGCATATATATGTATGTTCCGCGCATGTTTCTCATATTCAATCGATCCCATAAAAGGAAAATTATTTGTCTGTGTGTTTTTTGAATATGCTACATAATAACTTCGGTATTTATGAACCAATTTTCATGTTTTTTTATTACAATTAGTTAAGTCTGATGTTCACATATATACATAGTATATATACCTATGGATAAAATTATTAATTTAATAATTATTTTGAAGCCTGTGTACTAATGTCACAACTCTCTGTTTATAAAAGGAATGCAGCTAGCTCCATTATGTCGCTTTTTGGCTGTCGGTGTAAAAATTTTACTCTCATAGTTTTCCCAAACGTCCCAAAAGAATTATAACTTCAAAAATCATAGTTAACATAAATTTATTGGAACATTAACACGCAGAACCATCGAGTTCCATGGTAAGCTACGAGGCTTGTGTTATGGATACCAGATAGTTGATACACTACACATTACACATATATAACTTTAAATACATACATATTATAAATATAAACACCCATGACTGAGTACAAACATTCATAATGACATAAATGAATGCCACCAGCGGGACTCGAACGCGCGACCGCTGGCACAGCAAGTAGGGTAAGGGGTCACTACAAACTGAGCCAAACGTGTCATCGTCATAGTAAAATGTTAGTAAATCGAGTGAGGTACTCACTCTGTATTAACGCACAGTTGAAACATTACTGTCAGGGAACGTATATACAAACACACAAATTAATAAGCTTACAATTACTTTTAGCTCGTTATAATGTATGTATGTATTCAGCCCTTTAAACGTCCCACTGCTGGGCACGGGCCTTCCTTCAGTACGAGGGGAATCAGACCATAGTCCAACACGCTGGCCAAGTGCGGGTTGGCGGACTACACATGTCTTTCGAAAATTTACTAAGATCTCTCAGACATGCAGGTTTCCCCACGATGTTTTTCTTCAACGCAAGGCAAGTGGTAATGATTTTGGATATGATCGTTATTATACTACTATCATAATGACATTGTTTATTAAAAATTATGCCAAAGTAAGTGTTTGTTTTTTTATGCTTAAAAGTCAGAACCGATTTGGATGTTTAGTATCCAAATAGACTATAAGTTTCAGTAACACATAAGATAATATTAGACACCTAAGTAGGCACCCGAGTATTAGCCTCGATTACGAAGCTAAGTCACTCGATTACGAAGTTAGTACAGAAATAATTCTATTATTACTTACATTCATCGTCCCTTGTCCTCAATACCTCGGGCAGGAAATTCACTAAAAGGACCCTCATAGCCCAGTGGTGAAATGATCGGCTTTAAAACAATTAAGCAAATTCAATACATTATTTTTCAGATATATTAGCGTGTTCCAGCAAATGTAAACAACGACTACCATTTCAAGTCCATCGCACTTCGTCTGGAACTCATATCTAACTTCCTTCCGGCGATAAAAATATATGTTTACAAACTAAGGGTAACAGATTTTTTTTTAAACAATCAGTCCTTCTAACCAATTTTGATTATGCAGCCAGTTTTTTTTAAGCTATGACGACCATCCGAAATAACTAGAGGAGATCAGGTACGTGATAGCTTTACGAGCTTTCCGACCACGAACTTTATAACTCAAAGCTGCTACTGAGATTTTCTTGATAGAAAAATCCAATAACGTTTTTATTTTTTATTTAGTCCAATATTGTTTATAGTATAGTTGAAGCTACTATATTCTGTTCTTGACCTAATAAATGCTGTATTAAACAGACAGATGTACCTACCGCTACTTCTACATATATGTACAACGTATGGCAAAATGTAACACTTGGGTGTTCATTCCGCTATTTCACAGTTACGGGCTAATTCTACCGTTTCTTAGGAGAATCTTATTATTACTTACCAGTTTTTACATATTAACAATGATATAAATAAATCTTACTTAATAATACTAAACATCTACACAATAGTCTTAAAATAAACTTATCAAATTCTTTACGTACAATATTAAAAACATTTAAAATTGGAATTTTACCATTTGCTAGCATAAATCGTAAACAATATTAAATGTTTTTAGTATAACTGATAAATCAAAATACACATTAAACAGATATTAAAGTCATAACAAATATTGTATTATTGAATACTAATTACTCGCCTGTCTTCGCACGAATTTTTATCCATTTTTTTATATCATAATCTAGTTAAAACATACCTAGGCACAAACCCGAGCGAAGAAAAGGAGAGCCGCTAGCTTAACATAAATTCAAGTGGCAAAAAATCATCTTTACATAGTATAATAAAATTGTAACTAAGACGAATCTAAACATTAAATATTTTTTAGAAAATCTTATTTAAATAGGCAATGTTATCGATACAGAGGCCGAATCTATAGTTTTTAGAATTTTTGCTTGTATGTCTGTCTGTTACCGCATAATCGAAAAACCACTGGAGGGATCTTGGTGAAATTTGGTGTGGTGATAGTTGGTTATCCGGGTCAATATATAGGATACTTTTTACCGCGGGAAAATATCTCATTTCTGAGAAAAATACAAAAACTGCAACATAGGAGTATACTAATATGTAAAACCTAAGAACTTGTGTTTTGGTCTGAACGCGGGCGGAGCCGCGGGCAATGCTAGTACTTATTATGAAGCCATTACCGTAGCTTATGTAAGCTTGCATGAACAGCTACTGACTCTATAGCCCAAGATAGAAAGGAAAGAGAACGAGAAAAGAAAAAAATGAAAAGGGAAAGGGTGGAGATTAGGTCTCTAACGCTCTGACTCATATGTATCACAGTAGTATAAATACTGCTCATTTACGTAGATATCCTACTTTCTAGGTCCATATACCAATTATGCTAACAACTATACTTCACTGTTTTTTTTTTTCAATTTACAGCAGATCACTCTGGAGTATAGACTATTTCAGCAAAGAAAAATCGATAAAAAAATTACAATCAGTAAACAATCTAAATCATACAATTATACACAGTGATAGATGACCTCATATTATTATTTCAAAATCAATATTAACTTAAAATTTTACATCAATAATTACATTAATATATTGTATCATTTATATACACGTATGTAGATAATGATTAAAAATAACCACAGTTTCAAAATATTGATAGCAGCTTTGGCTTACATATTATATAGACATTATGAAATTCATACTAACCACACTATAATAATATAAATGTGAGTGTGGTTGTTTGTTTGTTTGTTTGTCCTTCTTTCACGTCGAAAGGGAGTGACGAATTAGCGTAATTTATTTGTGTGGAGAATGACACAGGCTACTTTTTATCATGGGAAATTGTCTTATTCTCACGGAAAAACACGTAGCACACATATACAACCCAAAACATTCTTTATGATCAGAAATACTTGAAACTCGGCGTTCATGCTCTTCAAAGCAATTAAATAAATACGTGTTTAGCATTTTTCGAAATTCATCTCATAAGGAGGTAGGAATGGTGAAGTTGGTAAAAAAATTCGCTATTTTTATTGTTAAAATAAGGTATTCAAGATTTAAGAGAAAATAAAAAAAACAATACGTGTTATCAATCAGATTATTCGAAATTTGTCTCTCGAACTCGACCCTGATTATATTTTTACCGTCTCCTGAGACGGTAAAAATATTATCTGGGTCGAGTTGACTTTTGGCCACATTAAACAGTAATCGGGGAATTGCCACAATTGTGGCCTCTTTTGGAAATTCTTCTACATTTTTAGAAGGTGGTAAAACAGCTTACGCTGCGTATAAACTCCTGCTCAATCTTACCCAAGTTGAAATCCCCGTAAGAAATATATTTAAACAGAGTAATAAATCTCAAGTTCTCCGAAACTGCACACTTACTGTGTGGGATATAGAATAGAGATCAAAGATAAATAAATATAAATATGTTGGGACATTAACACATAGCACCATCTAGTTCCATGGTAAGCTACGAGGCTTGTGTTATGGATACCAGATAGTTGATACACTACACATATATAGCTTTAAATACATATTTTTTATTTTTTTTATTTTATTTAATATATATTATAAATATATAATAATGACGATAGTTTCTATTTATATTCTTCTTAATATTCAATAAACATTATTTCAATAAACGCCGACTAAGATATCGATTTAACCTTGCAAAAAGTCAAATATAGCGCACGTGACATTCTGCATGCAGCTTCTTATGTAGAGTAAGGAGATTGGGATGAGAGAGACTTTCTTCAATTTACAGCTGTATTAGTATTTACACGCTTTGCTTAAAGCGGAAAGGGACAATTGTTTTTTTATTATTATTATTATTTTACACTATTTTCACCTGTGACTCGACTCGTATAAAATAAATGCTTATAAAATATAACTCATATTAATTCTTCATTCCCATTTCATACATCATGAATAAGTAAGAAATACCATACCATACACCCATGCACACACACTTTTCTTTTTTTTTATTTGACATTAACACACAGCACCATCTAGTTCCATGGGAAGTTGCCTGCGTTGTGTATACCAGATAGTTGATAAATGAAATACTCATCACACTAATGAATGCCCCCAGCTGGACTCGAACCTGTGACCGTTGGCACTGCAAGTAGGGTCACTACAATCTCAGCCAAACGTGTCGTCAAATCTATAGACAAACAAAAACACATAAATGGCATAAAATTGAAATTCTCAATATTTAATACTATATTAGCATAACGTACAATTTTAAACAATATACTAATTACCACGTGGAAAGCCGCACGTTTAAGTTAGTTCTAGTTTATCTAATGTTTTCTTGATTCCCATATAAATGAGACGATAACAAACGTAATTGGGATGAACTATTGATCATTAGGCAATGTTTTGTCTAACGAGTCTGACCCCGGGCGCGGCGATAGCTTGCATTTCCGCTGCAAGAAAATATATTTTACATAACTTATAAAAATATGTATGATGTATCTACATATTCTCTTTATGCATGTATATAGCTAGCAGAACCCGTGGCTTTGCCCGCTTTTAATCTACATAAGAAAACTCTTTTGCTTTATGTCATATACCGACTCACCCTCGCGTCGTTCGGGTTCCCTATGTATTTATATAATTTTTTTTTTGGATATTGTTATACAAAAATACTAAAATCGCGATTTAAAAATAAGAGGTGGGGGTAGGAAGATGAAAAATACTTTACGACTTATTCTCATACCTACTAAATATACAAAAGAAACATTAAAATCGGTCGAGCCGTTTCGGAGGAGTGCGACCACAAACACCGTGACACGAGAAATTTACATATTAGAAGATTTAGCTTAAAACAAATTTTAATAAGCTTTTGAACTAAATAAAGTCTATAACTACGTATTTAATAAAATATGAATTGATTACTATTATAATCAGACTAAGTTATAATATAGAGTATCACAGAACTATATGTGAAGCCAAACAATAATGTTTTGAAATATTATACGAATGACAATTTATATACTGAGTGATAAGTAAATAAATATCAATAAATAAAAATAGTTAACGAATTTTATTATTATGAAGAAAAAATATGAAATAAACTAATATTATACTTTGTCTCTTTCAAAGGGACTAACTAATAATCAAAAATACAAAAGACTAGAATATTTTTTTATTATTCATATTTAATTTCCGAAAATTGAAAACAAAAGTTTCCTTGTTCTTTTGAGGAATTAAACGACCCGTATTGCAAAATTGAGAATACCATAAATACCAAATCACGTTGCTTTTTGAATTTGACATTTATTTTGGTGGACTCCATCTAAACAATTCCATAGCTATTATAATACATACATACAAAAGTATTTATGCGTGCGTATGTTAACTACTTTTAAAAAGGCCGGACCGATTTGCATGAAATTTAATACACAGATAGACTGTCCTCTGGACTCAGCCGTATGAAATGAGGAGAAAGAAGCTAGTATAATAATAATTTAGGAAATCGTATTGCTACTATAGTTGAATATCTACAATGTGTATTCAGCCCTTTTTACGTCCCACTGCTGGGCACAGGCCTCCCTTAAATACAAGGGAGATCAGGCCCACGCTGGCCAAGTGCGAGTTGGCGGTCTTTCTTTCGAAAATTTACTAAGTTCTCTCAGACATGCAGGTTTCCTCACGATATTTGAATTAATGGAAAACAGAAGAATAATGGGTAAATTCTATTTATTATATATGTATTTTTTACTCAATTTTTCTATAATCTCGAGTTTCTACCACTAAGCGAACACTAGTAAATAATAAAAAAAAAAACACTTGCATATCCATAGTTTTAAAGTTATCT